ACAAAAAGGATCGGCATGGCAGCGGGAGTTCTTGCAAGAAGCGGATGTTCCACATGAACTCAAACACGTTGAATGACCCTAAACATCCCATTCGCGAGCTTGCTGGACGATTTGTCCCTGCAGATTCCGGCTCAATGGATCAGCAGACTTGGCAACAGCGCTCTAATCTCCACGACCCTTATTGTCATGACTTGGTCAGGCTATATATATATATATATGCACTATCACTATCACACATTGACAGTTACGTGCAACCTTGGAAGCTTTGGATTGACTTCGAACGGCCGTTGATTTATCTCCTTTTCCAGATGCAGTGCCCAATCATGGAACGACGCCCGATGGAAGGAGGCTTGAAAACCACGAGCCTGACGAGTGACCTTTTTGGGCCATCCTGAATCATTTCACACAACTGCAGAGCCTTGCCAGTGGTGCCCTCCTGAGGTTTTGGCACTTGGGTGGACGACTGGACTTGGGGAAAGACGATCGTGCACGTCCGCTGGCCCGCTGGATGCGGGGCAGGAACGTTCTTTCCAACACCCCCTGAATAATGGAAGTAACTAGAGTCGAGATGAGTCGAGTCTTTTTTCACTGTGACCCTGTGAAGACAAGACCTTTGTCGGCGCTCGGAGTTCTCCCAGACACTGGCGCAGGTTTTTGTCGACTGACTGGTGCACATGATCCGTGCCCGTGAGGGTCCAGGTGCGTTGTTGCCAGGGCCCGTGTCAGTCATGTTAGCGGCATTGTTTGAACCAGCAATCCATAAACAAGTTTGCCCCAGTGCTGTTACGCTCTGGTGCTGCGATTCATTGAGTTTTAGTCATTTTAGTCAATGTCTTCATTCTTCGGTGCAGCTTTCGTCCAAAATTGCACCGTGCTTTAGTGCCAGCTCTCTCCAAACACGCTCATGCTCCTTCACATTTCGCACTGCCGATGAAGGAGCATGCTTGAAAGGAAGGTGGCTAGGCTATATCAAAGGGAGATAGAGCACTATCGGGGTCAAGAGCCCTCATTCAGTATACAGGTCTCTACCTGAATGCCACGGGACAACTTGATGAACTTGCATGGTGAGCACCACACACTATCCACACACTATTTTTGGCCTTCCCCCACAGACCAGAGCTCGCGTTCACTTCAGATGGTTCCTCGTTGGGTTCTGTGGGCCCCCGCTCCATCGCCACAGATGAGCCTGGCCCTGACGCCAAAGCTGCGCGGGTTCAACGAGTCTCCGAGAAAGGCACTCCAAACGCATCTGTCAACCCCTGATGCTTCCAAAACGGTCCACTAAGGGGCAGTCACCAGTGCAGCCTGACATGATGTGAGGGCCTCCTGGGGATGCTTTGGAAACGGGCAGCCCTTTTTTTCCACCATCGGTTGGCGTTCGATGCGCAAGCAGGGACCTGCCGCTGGGATGCTGCCTGGGAGCCAGCGGCTGAGCTTGGAATCTTTCTTGGCAGTGGTGTATCTACGCATGTCTACGCCCGGGACACATGGCCCAGATCTTGTACAGTGATTGACCTCGAAAAGACCAGGTCAGAGCTCATCAGCAGCCTGTGGCTTAGTGAAATCGGGTTCCGCCGAGGCGACTCAACATCATTCAACATGACTCAAGATCCTCCTACAGGTGAAGGTTTCGGACACCTATTCAGGTCAAGGTGGCTAACTCACGACTGAAGAAATTCCACATGGCTCACGACAAACATCCTGACAAACCCGTTTCAAGGTGCACCGACCCCAAAGGCACCATAGATCGCCAAAGAGTTCTGGGATGGTCTGGTTGTGGCGACTCGTGTCGCGTGGCGCAACGGCACTTCATTTGAGGTGACCTGGCAGACGAGACCGAGACCGCGCTGCCCCGACCTCCTCCGGAGCCTTTGCGTGACTTCTCGGCCCATTCCTTAGTTAACAAACGGTCTAGGAGCAAGGACGCTACTAGGGGCTCCTGGCCTCGCTACTAGGAGCAAGGACGCTACGAACGGGGCTCCTGGCCTTACTACTAGGAACAAGAAGCTACTAGGAGCAAAAGCGCATCGCTACGAACGGAGCAAGGACGCTACTAGGAGCAAAGGGCATTTCTAC